TCAGCCTTTCTGCTACAAGTCGTACATGCTTCATCTTGCTTAATGCTCACTACTGTTCTATGAGTCAGGTACTATTATTAGCATTTACTCAATAAAGGAAAGTGATTATTATTTCTCCCTCCTTGCTCTGTTAGGCTATTGGTATGCTCCACCTCCTCCATCTCTAATACCAGCCACTTATCAGAACTATGCAATTGCCTGTTGGCATCTCCTTTGAGATGACCTGCTAGCCAGAACAGAATTTCCCTAGTACCTGCAGATTGTCTGCCCTGCAAAGTGCCTTACTGACTTGAGCAGCTATCTCCAGACCTCATCCTGGCCTTATCTACTCTCCTCCATCCTGCCATCAATCACATGTTGCTGCACTATACCTAGATATGAGGGATTGTTTCCTGACTTTGATAAAGGCTAGCACTCACTGATGATGGTTTACTGTGGGAGTCAGTCATTTGTGTAAGGGAAGGTGGGAGACAGGCACAGTACAGAGATGTCCAGTTCTAAAACAAGATTGAAAGAAAAACAGAAGTTAGTACATGCAGAAGTCATCTTTGAGTTAACCACAGAACATGAGTGATAGAGGATGCACCACCAAAATGATCACAATGCCACCAGTCTTGCTAAATCATTTCTGGATACACCTAGGCGTCTCAACTTAAAGGCAAAAACCAGACTGCTCAATTATTATCAGACAAAGATTATTTCATTAAACTTTAAAAGCTTTCACTTTATAAAACTTCATTATGAAGAAAAACAAAGACATAAATTTTTTTAGAGAGAGGGAGAGAGAGAGAGAGAATTTTAATATTTATTTTTTAGTATTTGGCGGACACAACATCTTTGTATGTGGTGCTGAGGATCGAACCCGGAACGCACGCAAGCCAGGTGAGCGCGCTACTGCTTGAGCCTCATCCGCAGCCCAAAGGCATAAAAATTTTGTGATATTTATTTCTTAGTGGACCGTAAGTAGTTCTTACTCTCTTTTTTTTATCTAATTTTTTGTCTGCAAGTTTTCTATAATAATATTTTTATATTATAATAATACAATGTTTTTAAAATATAGATTTAAAAATATGCATGTGTGTGTATGTGTGCGTGTATATATCACACAAAGAATCTTTATGACTTTTTTTTTTGGTGCCAGGAATTTAACCCAGGGACACTTAACCACTGAGACATATTCCCATCCTTTTAATTTTTTTAATGTATTTAATTATTCTAATTTTTTATACATAACAGCAGAGTACATTTCAATTCATAGTACACGTAATTTTTCATGTCTCTGATTGTACACAAAGTAGATTCACATCATTCATGTCTTCATACATGTACTAGGGTAATGATGTTCATCTCATTCCACCATCTTTGCTACCCCCATTCCCTCTCCCTTCTCCTCCCTCTGCTTTGCCCTATCTAAAGTTCCTCCATTCCTCCCATGCTCCCCCCCACACCCCCATTATGGATCAGCATCCACATTCAGCCTTTGGTTTTTTGGGATTGCTTACTTTATTTCACATGATATTCTCCAACTCTGTCCATTGACCTACAAATGCCAAGATTTTATTCTCTTTTAATGCTGAGTAATATTCCATTGTGTGTATATACCACAGTTTCTTTTTCCATTTATCTATCGAAGGGCACAATTTAGCTATTGTGAATTGTGCTGCTATAAACATTGATGTGGCTGTGTCCCTGTGTCCCTGTATGCTGTTTTTCAGTCCTTTAAGTATAAACCAAGGAGTGGGATAGCTGGGTCAAATGGTGGTTCCATTCCAAATTTTCCAAGGAATCACCATACTGCTTTCCATAGTGGTTATACCAATTTGCAGTCCCACCAGCAATATATTAGTGTGCCCTTTTCCCCACAGCCTCACCAATACTTATTGTTGTTTGTATTCTTGATAGCTGCCATTCTGACTGGAGTGAAATGAAATCTTGGAGTAGTTTTGATTTTCATTTCTCTAATTGATAGACATGTTGAACATTTTTTCATATATTTGTTGATTTATTCCATTCCTTTTTATTTTTTATTTTGAGACAGAGTTTCACTAAATTGCTTAGGACCTTGCTAAGTTGCTGAAGCTAGCTTTGAACTTGTAATCCTCTTGTCTAAGCCTCACTAGCCCTTTCATGTTTGAAATGCTTCTTTTTAACCCTTTTCAGGAGCCTGGAAGCATTTGGTTGTCTGGCAATGCCTTTCTCTTTCTTGCAAGCCAGTAGCCAGAGTATATGTAAAAGGAAATTGCATTAAAAAAAAACAACAAAAAAACAAGCATTAGTTATTGTGCCACAGACAGACAGCAGAAATTCCACAGTGTCTCAACAGAGCCATTTCCCCTAAATCACAGCTGACAGAGGAAATGACTTTCTGGTCTGCAAATGCAGGTGCAGGAAGTAAAAGCTGAGTGCATGAACCAGCCCAGGCCAAGTTCCTTCCACAAGGTGCATCCCTTCAGGTTGTCCCATCTGCTCCTTCTCAGCAAATTCACAGCTCATCCAAGGGCTGACCTTTTATTGCACTGTGCAGGGAAGGTGGAGTCAGTAATTGAGACCAATCAGGATTTTAATCGGGTGTGTTGGGAATGTAATGTTTATTTGATGATCAAAGTGCAGATACCAAGCTAGAGTTGAAAATATGTCTCTGAAATTCAAAAGAGTTTGGGGAACAATAATGGTCAATGAATATGTGGTATTTAAAACCATTAATTGAATGAAAGGAGTGAGTGTAGAGGAAGAAGGAAAGAGAACTTGAGACAGAACTTTTGCATATTCTAACAGTAAGGAGTTCTAGAAGAGAAGAACAGCCAAAAAGGGTAAGAAGGAGTGATCTGTGATAGGAAAACCAATAGAGTATTGTGTCCTGGGATAAAAGAGAGAAGGGAGGGGTAGGTGCTGTTGGTAGGTCCTCCCCATGAGTGCTGTCTGCTGGGTTTGTCCATCTTTGGTAAGGGCAACCTCAGTGGAGTCATGGGGCAACACTCTTAAGCTTGTTAAGAGGAAATGAGAAGACACAGTTCAAAGTTTGAGTAGAAACAATTTTCTCAGAAATATTGCTAAGAAAGGGCAATCACTGCTGATGACAGTGAATTCAAGAGAATTTCTTCTGAGATAGAAGAAAGAATGTCATGTTTATAAATAGGATTGAGCCAAGGGAGAGCAAAAAACTTAATGAAGGAAGAGATTTGAAAGAGGAGGGAGAAAGGCTGACGCAATATTCTCAAGTAGACAGAGGTGGAATTACTGCAAGAATGGAGTGCTTGGTTTTAGATGACTTGTGCAGTTCAGCTCTGGTATCAGATGACAAGGCACAGTATGGGGTGCAGCTGCTGTTAGATTGAGAGTGGTGAGTGAGAATGTGTGGAAGTCCTCTTCTGACTGCTGAGGATGGGAGTACAGGAGGAAGGGAGAGAAAATGCAAATACTTCACATGAATGGGAGGTGAACGGAAGTGCCCTGTGATTGCCTGGGAGCACTAATAGCACATGAATGGTGGAGGTTCAAGTTCAGGAATTGAAAGTGAAGTCTGGGAAATATGGTTATTTCCACCCGCCTGCCCCCCCCCCCCCCCGCCTGCCCCTGGCCCAATATGTTTTATCTGTGCCAAATCTAGATTCAACGAGACTAGTGATTTTGCTAAACAAGTACCACAAATGAAATCCAGGCTTTCGAAGACTAAAGGGGGGAATTTGAGAATATGGAGGAGTGAACATTGTTTGTAGTCACAGCTCAGTGTGTATGATCAAGGGAGTGAGTGGCGTGGGGTGAAAGATGCATCTTGGAAGAAAGCATTTATAAAAACAATGTTTTGGATCACTGCATGGTTATTGAATATCCAAGAACAGGGTGGGATGCGAGTGAGAGTTTTAGCAGTGACACAGAAGCTAAATAATGCCCTGAGAGTTGGCCCTTGACAGCAACCATGAGGGGCAGAGGGTAACATAATCTGGTGATATGAGTTTCAAAAGTGGGGAGAGGGGAGTGTGGATTAAACAAGAAGGTGAAAGCAAGGTCCAGAGTGGCCATGAAGACCAGGAGACTGCTCACCCAGGGGCTGGAGGAGACTAAGCTGCCTCTTGCAAGGGCTGCAGAGAGGCTATAAATGTAATCATTGTGAAAGTAATGTGATCAAGTAAATTCAGTGAAAATAAATAATTTTTTTGTATAAATATCATACATGATTCCCTATATCTGGTGAGCCCAAGAGTAATAAATAGATTTTTTTTTAAGTCAGTGAGTGCAAGTCTCAGAACATGCAGAGTCAAGTCTCTTCATTCTCTGCATAACAAAATGATCAGATATTATCACCACTGATGGTTTAGATTTCTGGTGGTGAGATTTCTCTCCTACAGAATTGAACTGCTTCAAAAGTTGAAGGAGAGTTTTGGAACTCCTTCCTACTTAAGGGGGTGGCGGGGGAGACCAAAAAGCCTTTGATGTGACATTCCTCCTCCTTATATATCTGAAATAATGGATAGTGATGATACCAATTGCAACTTCACTCCTATTTGACCCAATTATGAGAAATATTGTCCTATTCATTCTCTTTTTATAAAAAGTCTTCTGTGTTTAATGGCTTTATCTTGACCAGGAACTTCTAAATAAGTAATGAATTGAAATCTAATGGCCACAAATTTTGGTAAGTTTTCATATAAGAATTTTGAACTGAGTTTTTTTTTCTAATTATATAGTAATACATAGTCATTATGAGAAATATGAAAAGACAGGGAAATATTTTAAATACCTTTTAGAGGAAAAGATGGTTAACATTTCATTGTATTTTTTTCTGGTTCTTCTTGAGTGATATTTTAAAATTATAGTAAGATAAACATAACATCAAATATACCATCTTAACCATATTTAAGTGTACAATTTGATGGTGTAAAGTACATTCAAATTATTGTGCTACTATCACTATCTATCATCTATCCACAGAACCATTTATAACTTGCAAAATTGAAACTCTGTAATCATTAAACAATAACTTCCTATTTCTTTCTTCCCAGGGCCTCCGGGAATCACCATTCTACTTTCTGTGCCTATGAATTTGATTACTTTGGATCCCTCATGTAAGTAGAATCATAGAGTATTTTCCTTTTGTGACTAATTTCTTTCACTCAGCACAATGTTGTCTATATTAATCTATGTTATGTAGCAAGTGTCAGAATTTACTTCTTTTTGAGACTGAATAATATTCTATTGTATGTCTGTACCAATTTCATTTGTCTGTTCATCCATCAATGGAAGCATGAGTTACTTCCACCTTTAGGCTATTACAACCAATACTGTTGTGGACATGGTTATACAAATATCTCTTTGAGACCCTGCTTTCATTTCCTTGGGGTATATACTCAGAAATAAAATTGATGGATGCAATGATACTTCTGTTTTTATTTTTAAGGGAAATTTCACACTGTTTTCCATAGCAGCTGCACCATTTTATTTTCTTTCCAAGAACATACAAGGGTTCCAATTTCTCCATATTCTCTTCCACACTTGTTATTTTCTGTTCATGATGGATGTGAGGTGGTATCTCATGGTGGTTTTGATTTGCAATTCTGCAGTGATTAATGACATGGAGGATCTTTCATGTTCTTATTAACTATTTTTCTATCTTCTTTGGAGAAATGTCTATTCAAGTCTTTTTTAAACTGAGTGGTTATTGTGTTGTTGAATAGTGGATGTTCTTCATGTATTCTGGGTATTAACTTCTTATCAGACATATGATTTGCAATTCTTCCCCATTCTACAGGTTTTTTTCTTTTCACTCTGTTGATAGTATTCTTTGATGCAAGAGGGCTTTAGTTTTTATGTGGACTATTTCTTTTCTTTTGTTGTTGTATCCATGAAATCATTGCCACATGCAGCATCAATGAGTTTTAAAGTTTTAGCTCTTACATTTGAGCCATTGATCCATTTAAGTTATTTTATTTTATATGTTTTGAGGTAAGGGTCCAACTCCATTCTTTTTCATGTGGATATCCAGTTTTGCCAATGCCACATGATGAAAAACTGTTCCTATTGAATGGTTTTGGAAATCTTGTTAAAAATAATTTGAATATATATGAATATATATGTTTTATTACTATATCTTTGTGGTAAGTTTTGAAATCAGGAAGTGTAAGTCCTCCAATTTCCTTCTTCTTTTTAAAAATTGTTTTAGATATGCAGAGTCCCTTGAGATTGCATATGAATCCTATGATGGATTTTTCTAGCTCTGGAAAAAATGTCAGTAGTTTTTCATAATTTTTTACATAGTTGCTATTACACTGTATGAACAATTTTATATTCTGCTTTTCTTACTTAACATTATTATACATTTAAACCATTAAAAATAAACATTATTCCTTTTTATTCAAATACTTCATAAACATACTTTACAATCGACTATGTAAAGAGAAATGTACAAATGGAAGTATAATGAAAGCTTTGCAAATATTTTGCCTCAAATCACATGATTTCTAAATACTTTAAATGCTATAATTACAAACATGAGAAGAATATGATTCAAGCCATCTCAGAATATGAGACTATAATATTTATAAGTAGGAAGGAATAACAAACAGTGGTACTACTTTAAAAGACTTCGTTAAAGTTTATACTTATATTACTTTTAACTAATTGTAACTCTAGAATGTGTTTATTTACTCAATGAATATTAACTGAATCTAAAGATTTTTGAAGCTCTGGGAATCTGTATATAAATTATATAAGGTCATCATCTGCTGGGAAAGTGAATGAATACCAAAATGTAACAAAAGTCTGTGTCATGAACTTTTACTTTCTTATTTAGTCTTTGCATAAGTCCTATTGGGAAGTGGTATTAGCCACAATAGGGATGAGGAAATTAAAGTTCACTTCCAAAAAGCTGACCAAGTCATTAGAGGTGACACAGATAGTGAGTGGAAAGAATATAAGTTCAGGGTTGTCTGACTCCAAAGCTCATGCTGTTTTCACTCCTCCAGTTTGTTTTAGGCACTTATGATCTCATACACAGGGCAGAAGCATAAATAGCTCTCTGTATTGTGAACAAAATACTCTAATAGCAATTATTCTTCCTTATTTGAGTTTAAAAAAAAAGCTTTTGAGAATGTTTTAGTTAGCTTTTTCGTCACTGTGACCAAAAACCTGGAGGGAACAATTAAAGGAGGAAAAATTTATATGGGGCTCTTGATTTCAGAGTTCTCAGTCCATAAATGGCCAACTCTATAGTTCTGGGCCCACTGTGAGGCAGAACATTATGGCAGAAGTTCAGGAGTTTGGATTTGGTGGCAAAGAAAAGCCACTCAGAATATGGCAACAGCAAACAGAGAGTGTTCCGTTCACCAGGGTCAAAATATAAACCCAAAGGCATGGCCCCAGTGACCTGTCTCCTCCAGCCCCACCTTGCAGTTACCACCCAGTTGATCAATAACTGTGGATTAATCCACTCATGGTTCGAGGCTCTCATCACCCAATCATTTCACCTCTGGAAATTCTTTCTTTGTCTAACATATGAGCTTTTGGAGGATACCTGGTATCTAAACCATAACAGAGAAGCAGCATTATAACCTAAGACCTGAAAACAGGATTTCATTAGATAAAAATTGTAGAGAAGAACATTCATTCATTCATTCATTCATTGTCCATTAAGAAAAAACTTGCATTCAGTTTCTGCAGTATGCTAGACACACCATCACATGCTGAGATATAGAAAAGAATGTTCAAAACACTGTGGAGACAGTTAAGTACCTGACTTATAACAGAGGCTGGTATCAAACTCTGGCACAGAGTTGAAAACTAATTGCCGGGGACACTCTTCCAGGGTACTAAGAGCAAGTTCACCATGGAAAAAGCTTCCTGGTGTCAGGTGGTGCTGAGCATAACAGATTGGACCCTCCATGTTGAGTTCAGGAATTTGGATTTCAGCCTCTGGACAGTCAGCCAGCAGCAATAAGTAGGGAAGTGACTGTCAGTTCTGGTATCTTAAGAAGCTATCAGGTAGCAAATAAAGGATAGAGTATGAGACCTGGCAAAGAGACAGGTAGCAGGAAGTTAAGAATCCAAACTGGAGACAGAGCTAGGCATTGTGGCATATGCCTGTATTCTCAACAGCTTGGAAATCTGAGACAGGAGGATAGCAAAGTTCAAAGCCAGCCTCAACAACTTGCTGAGGCCCTAAGCAACTTGGCAAGACCCTGTCTCAAAATTAAAAAAAAAAAAAAAAATTTAAAGGGCTTGGGATGTGACTCAGTGGTTGAATACCCCTGGGTTCAATCCCCAGCACCAAAACAAACAAACAAGAGATAGAACATGGAAGAATCAGCAAGAAGAGGGACTGAGAGAGCAAAACCATATCTGCAAGGTAAAGTTGATCAGTTTTGTCATCTGTAGGATGTGTGCTGAGAACAATAGAGATAAGAGAACAGCATGAACAATGGCTTTGGATCTGTCCACATCTAAAAACACTGTATTATTATTTTGGAGCAAAAGATCCATAAAGCATTAAGTAAAATATAAGTCTATTTTGACTTATCAGTATTTTGTATAGTATATTTAGCCATTCTAAAATACTCTGAATAGTTTCACTGACACCACACACACACACACACACACACACACAGTTTAAACATGCCCCACAATGACATTGACACTACCCATTTGGTTAGCAGGCTCTTTCTCCATAGAAAGTACAGTTATAGCTGGGTATGATGGCTCACACGTGTAATTCCAGCAACTTGGGAGGCCAAGATAGGAGGATCACAAATCAAAGGCCACCCTAGAGAGACTCTTGACAAGTTGGCAAGATCCTCTCTCAAAAAACAGAAAGGACTGGGGATATAGCTCAGTGGCAAAGCAACCTTGGGTTCAATTCCCAGTAATAACAACAACAAAATGCATAATGACAAAATCAATTTTGTCATTACTACATTGAAGCATAGTTTTTGAGACAGTGGATTAGTGAATTTTTTTCTAAGATGAAAGTCAAAAGGATTATTTTTACTGAAAGATTTACAAAAAGATTACTGGTCAGGTAAATAATATGTTTTGCTATTTTCATACTTAATGAAGATTTCCATTCCTTCAGGTCTTTACTAAGTCTTGTAAATTATTTAGACCTGTTTTTCTCTGTAGAGTTCCTCGTTTGTTTTCTTTTTTATGTAATTTTTTCCCATTGTTTTCATTAATAAGTAATATACATCTAGTTCAAGGTATTATTGCTGGTAATGGTGCTAATGCGTGCCACCAGAAGAGGGCAGCAGTGAGGTGCTTAGAAGAAGAACTAATTTTTTGGCTTTGAAATTGCACACCAGCTTTAAGACCAAGAATGATGTGACAAACAAATTTAGTGCTGACATGGTAATTAACATCCAGAATTGACTTATTTTTTGGTCAGAAACTATCTCATAAACATTGCCACAGAATTTTAAGAAAATCTAATGATGTGCTTATAATGCAAGAGGGTAATACATTTGTGGAAATTTTTCTGCTGTCATATATAAATTAAAAAAAAAATTTAAAAAGATCGATGAAGATTGACACAAAGAGATGTTCTGAAATTTTTACATTCGACTGAAGAGGAAAGATTGGAGATGCACTAAAATGAAGCATGTTGTTTCTTGTCACTTCAAGAGTGTAGGCTGATAATTTAATACTTTACATAGATAATCAAAATATCTTTAAATATATTTTATCTTTAAATATAATTATCTTTAAATATAACTTTAAATATATCTTTTATCTTTAAATATAACTATCTCTAAAATGAAATGAAGTATCTTTAATTTGTCAATAGTAAGCAATGCATAGAATTTATCATCGAAGAGAAGTTTCCCAAATTCATCCTATATCTGCTATTATAAACATTTAACAACAATAAATATTTTTTGAGCACTAGTATATGCTAGAACTTATTCCAGGTACTGAGGCTATAGAAAAGAATCAGCTCATTCCCTGACCTCTTGGAGTTTATATTATAATAGAGAAGATAGACATTAAATCAAACTGTGTGATCATTGTACAGTTATAATCAAGAAAAACAAACAAAAAAGGAAAACAATCTACCATAGGGACCCAAATAAAGGAGTCT